AGGATCAAAAAAATTAAACGGGTATCCGCGAAAGGAAGGCGAAAAAGGAAGGAAAGAAAGACAGAGAGAGAGAGAAGGAAAGAAAGAAAGAAAGAACGAAAGAAAGAAAGAAAGGAAGGAAGAAAGAAAGCAAGGAAGAAAGAAAGAACGAAAGAAAGAACGAAACAAAGAAATAAAGAAACAACGAAAGAAAGAAATAAAGAACAAAAGAAAGAAAGAAATAAAGAAAGGAAGAAAGAAAGCCATGCAAGAAATAGAGAAATGAGAAAATAAAGAAAGCTATAAGTAAAGAAAGAAAACAAAAATAGAGAACTAAGTAAATAAAGAAAGCTATAAGGAAAGAAAAAAGAAAACACAAGGAAAGAACCAACAAAAACAAAACAAACAATGAAGAAATAACCAAATAACAAAAACAGAGAAATAAAGACAGACGGAAGGCCATATGTTAATAAAGAAAAAACAGAAATAGTCGTAGGAAAATCGTGTTTTCCACAGGAAAAACCAAGCAAATCCTTAGGAAACGAAAGAAAATCCCTAGGAAAGCAGTGTTTTCCCTTGGAAAAATTCAAGAATTGCTGTATCTAAAAAGCAAGAAAGAAAGACAGAAAGAAAGAAAGAACGAGAGAGAGAACGAAAGAACGAAAGCAAAAACAAGAGGAAGAACGAAAGCAAGAACTAAAGAACGAAACTTAAGGAAATACCACGGAATCCGTAGGAAAATCGTGTTTTCCCGAGCAAAAACCAAGCAAATCCTCAGGAAATGAAAACGAATCCGTATGAAAACAGTGTTTCCCCTGGGAAAAATTCAAAAATTGCTGTATCTAAAGAGGACGAAAGAAAGGAAAACAGAAAGAAAGAAAGATAGAACGAGAGAGAGAACGAAAGAACGAAAGTAAAAACGAAAGAAATAACGAAAGCAAGAACGTACCAAAGAAAGAACGAAGTAAATCAAACCAGAAAGAAAGCAAGAAAGAAAGGAAGGGAGTATGAGATGAACAAAGAAAGAACAACAGAAAGAAAGAAAAGAAATGAACGAGCGAAAGAAAGAAAGAAGTCCAGAATAAAAAAGCAAAGTTGGAAAAGACGAAAGAGAAAGAATATGAAAGAATCACAGAAACAAAGATACAAGCAACAGGATACTACATAGTCCAATCGAATTTACCATAATATCGTAATGTACCGTAACATAATATAACATAATGTAACCTAATGTTATAAAATATACTACATATTATGTTGTAAATATACACGCTGTATTGTACTATGTTACAATGTACTACACTATAAACTAAGATGTTGTTTTGTTCTATGTCATCTTCTGTTATATTGCATTGTTGTATTTTTAGTATGCTATTATATGCTATAAGAAGCAAGGTTCTGTTATGTCAGAAAATGTCACACCATTTTTGTGTTGTCGAACCATCTTATGTCGTTCTTCTGGGTTAGAATGCTAACGGAAGAAGAGACACGAACAGGCACGGAAGAACAAAACACCCGCCGCCGCGCTTTTCGAGACGTGCAAGCTTGATTAAATTAGTGTTGTCGAAGCCCATCATGTGAACGTTGTCTCTGCAAATGGGGGGGGCTGCGCCCCCCCCAACCCCCCCGCTGTTTTAAGCCGTGCAGGGTTGCTTTGAAGCATATGCCTTTTTTTGAAACCCAGCAAATGAGGGCGTCTCCGCCCTTGTAGATACATCCTGAACCAGAATCGCCAAATGAGGGGCGTGTTTAAGACAGATGATGAAGCGGAACACCAGCAACAGCTACAACAGGAAATCCGTCCTAAATGTGAAATTGTAAGGAAAATTTGGTCTTCCCGAGGAACAACCATATGTTGTCCTTCTGAAAACCTGAAGAAATGACACGAACGCCATAGGTAATAGGAAAATATGCTTTTCCCTACGAAAAATTCAAAAAAAACTTAGGGAAATACCACGGAATCCGCAGGAATATCGTGTTTTCCAGAGGAAAAACCAAACAGATCCTAAGGAAACAAAAGAAAATCCATAGGCAAAAACACTGTTTTCCCTTGGAAAAATTCAGGAATTGCTGTATTTTAAGATTTAATTTCTTTTTGATCCTTATTTTAATTTGTTTTTGATGCCTCTGCCCCAGGAAATGCTGTATTTTGAGTGATTTAATCTTTTTTTGATCCTTATTTTAATTTTTTTTGATCTTTCCATTTAATTTTTTTTTGATCCTTATTTAATTTTTTTTTGATCCCTCACCCGAGTAGGCAATAGGGTTTAGGATAGGGTACTATACTACGGGGTTACTTTAAGGGATCTTTAGGGGTTCCTTTCTGGCTTCTACTGTAGAAGGAGTTCTAGATCGGCAGACACAAATGAGAATGAGCCCGATGAGTCATCTCTGCCTCGAGCATCGCAGCCTTAAGCCCGAAGCTACACCTCTTAGGGATAATTACTTAGAAATATTTTTTAACTTTTGGTTATTGTAATCCCTAAGAAACAGCTACAATTACAATTTTTGCTAGGGTTCTAAGTTCAGTTTAGAACTGTCAAACGTCACCCCAAGGCTTGCCAACCACCCCAAACCCAGGCCATGGCCCCAGAACCCTAAACCCCTTGACACGGACGCCTACAGTGTTACACTGAACCCAACGAAGCTGAAGCCGGGCATCCCGCGCCACGACCGCGAACCCTAATTGCGAAGCAGTCCAGGAACATATGGGTAGTTCTCCAAAGTGGGGTCCCTTGTTAAAGCGTGTTTCTGGGTTCCTAGAAAGGGAACACACATATAGCCCGGACTTAAAACTCCGATTCTTTAAACCCTGCACCAAAACTCCTAAACTGTGCATGAAGGCCCATAACTATGGGGGATTTAATTCGAGTAAGTACTTATACTGTTTAGGGGGGTCCGTGTTATGCATGCAGTATAATGATGGACGCCAAAGCCCTCTTCTCGTTATTAAGGCCACTTGTTATAATGCCCTTGTAGATCCCTTATAGGAACTCCCTTAAGGGAGCCCTTGAAAGGGAACCCTCTTCTAAGTATTAAGGACCTATATTCTAGCTACTTCTATCCGGCGGCCTTAGCTATGCTGTTCTGGGGGTTCCTTATGAAGAATATAGTGCAATGGGCCCAAAAACTCTGTTCCAATCATCAAAGCCACTATACTATAGAACCCTACTATAGACCCCATATAGAGCCCTTGAAGGAACCCTTTACAGGGAATCCTATTCTAACGGTTGATGGTAGAAATCCTGCGTTACCTTAAGGGCCCTAAACTATGGGAATGATGGTATATTCCTTATTGTGGGTAATGCAGGATTTATATCTTCAACCGAATTATAAAGCCCCTAGTGTCCGGCGATCCTCCGAGGTGTCCCTGACAGCGATGGAGCTGACCCGAAGCCCCTCGATGCTGACTGCGACTTGCCAGCTCAAAGCTCTTCGGGGCTTAAGAGATTCGGGGCTTAGGGTGTAGGTCCAGGTGTTGAGGGTTTACCCAATTAAGTATACCATAGTGATGCTGACTGAGACTTGCCAGCTCAGGGTTCTTTGGGGGCTTGGGGGATTTCGGGCTCAGAGTTTAGGGTTTTGGGGGTTTTGGGGTTGAGTTTACGGTGCAGGGGCTTATGGGCCTTAAACGCTTGGGTTGAAGATATAAGAAGGCTTATAGAATCGATATAGGAGTAAGAAGTGGGGAATAGAGGGAATCCGAATAGGAACCTCTGACCGCTTCGGCCGGGGCCGAGGCGAATTTATTATGGACCCTGCGAAAATCCTTCGGGAACCGTTCGAAATTCTTCATTACGGGGTGTTCAGTCTTTAGATTCCGAAAGCCCTGTAATAAATGGCAACAACAAGATCAAATTATGAAGGGATGAAGCCCTACACCGAAGGTATATTCCTTTACTATGGCGTGTTGAAGCCACTGGCTTCGGGTCAACCTACAGGGTTCAAAGTACCTTTTTATTGCAGGATGTAGGGTTTCTACATTAGGAAATTCACTAATTATGATTAAACCCTAAACCCCTAAACCGAGTATCCCCCCGTAGTACCTTTGGGCAAGGATTGAGGATCTGAGGCTCCGGGTTCGATTGCTGGGGCTACGGGCGATCACAGTCTAGGGTTTGAGGCGTAGAGGGTATGCAGCAGTTTCTGGATGCGCTGGAGTGTGCCTCTGCCGTGTGGATTGATGCCATAGACGGAGAGACACTGCGATGTTCGGAGGGACGGTACCGCCAATCAAACGGTTTGACCACCTTCAGTTGGACTCAAGACCTACAGCGAGTAGTGCGTCGATGCCGTCTGGGTCGCTTGGCCGATGCTGGTCTGGCGAAGCCTTGAAGAGTGTTGGGGTGCCTTCTTTCTCACGAGCTTGCTTTACAGAGCGGCCTTGCAAGCGATGCTCGTTCTGAAATGTGGTGAATTGGGCTCTTTGTTCGATGCCGCAAAGGTGGCAACTGCTGCAGCTTGGATGTCAAACTTCCGGCATGGCACCTTTGTCACAGCGCCGCTGCGTTCGCGCATGACTGCAGATTGCCAGCTACGCCTTGCCGAGCGATGCTCTCTTGCCCACGCCTATCTGGTTTCTCGCAAAGGTGCCGAAAGCTTGCTCCGACATCTTTCGGATTAGGGTTCGGAGCTTGGGGCTTAGGGCTTTTACGGTTTAGGGCTTATAGGATTTAAGGCTTATAGCATGTAGTTTTTTTAGGGTTTAGGTTTTTTTAATCAGGGTGAGGTATAAGATCAAGTCGGTCCAGGATTGGGTGAGATTCAACTATCTGTCTGCACGGCTAGAGGCGGGGGGTGTTTAGGGTTCGTTTCGCAGGCGTGACGTTACAAGGTTCTGCCCCCGAAACCGCCCAATATTTTCAATCTTAAAGCCATGAGCGCTGCACAACATCCCACCCTAGGTCCTCAACCCTAAGCCCTAAGCCCTACAACCCTAAACCACTAAACCCTAAATCCTAAAACCCTAAACCCCTAACCGTTAAAGCCTCAAACCCCCAAGCCCTGCAATACCTTCCGAGGCCCTGAAAGGCACGGATGTGCAACAGGAAGAGCAGCGCGTCTTCCAGGTCGGGCAGTTCATACGGGGCCTCCAAGTGCTTATTTCTTAGGTTTCCTTTGTGACAATTCACAGGACCCCTAAACCCTAAACCCTAAACAGTATTCTTCACCCTCCAGAAGCCTTAGAGGGTTTTGTTATGCTCAGGAAACATGGTATAAGTAGGTTGCACAGGCAGAAGAGGGTTTAGGGTTTAGGGGAATTCTCATGTTTAACCTTGCAAGTAGCTTACTCTCCGGTTGACAGTCCCATCTTGTACACTTGTTTGTCGTCTACAACCAATGTAGTAAAAGCAATGCCTCATCACGGTTTCCTCATTCAAACCCAAAGAGCAAGGAAAAAGGTATCCTCATTCTGGGGAACCCTAAACTGTAAACCCTAAGCCGCATATACCCTAAACCGAGCCTAAACCCCTAAAGCCCAAACCCTAAACCCCTAAATCCCTAAACCCCTAAACTCTAAACCCCTAAACCCCTAAACCCTATAATTAGTTATAGAACCCTAGAGATCCCTTTAAAGGATCCCTACATAGTAGCCATGGCAGGTCTTCTGCACACATTATACGACAAAGGCGCCCAAAACCCTATTCTAGTCATTAGGCCCCTGCATGATAGAACCCTACTATAGATTCCTCATGGAGCCCTGTAAGGAGCCCTAAACCCCTGAACCTAAGCCTACAACCCTAAACCCTGACCCCCTAAACCCTAAAAAGACCTAAACCCAAAACGCCTTACAGAACCATGGCAGGTCCTCTGCACCTACCTCCAGCAGGAGTTCGGTCGCCTCACCGTTGACGCCCGCAACCGAGTCAGCTCGTGCAATGCAAGTCGACCGTTTAGGGATCTCTAGGGTTCTATAGCGGATCTTTAGGGCCTAGGGTTTAGGTGTTTAGGGTTTAGTCCCTGCACCCAAAACATCGTAGAGTTTTTTAGTGGTTAAGTGGGTGATTTAGGGTGCTTTGAGTGGGAATGTACTGTTGTTGCCTTCTTTTCAGCCCCTCCTGCTATTGTGAACAGCAGGATTTTAGTGTTGTTTCCAACTAGTTGCGGTAGTACAGCATGTATCATCTGTAGCTGTTGCACAAACTGTTGGAAGGGTAGGTTTTCGTTTATGCAAAGTCGCATGTCTTTCTTGTCACGACAGCGCTGTTTTGTCGTCTTTCTCTTGGCACAGATATCCCACTACTGCTTGATAGTAAATACTGTTGTCATTAGGTCGCAGGCGATAACGATATGCTGTTGCAGGCAGATTTTACTTCCTTCGTGGGACGGGGAATTCGCTTTCGCGGACTCCGACTGCCCGCCGGACTTGGAGGAGGCGATGCAGACGCCGGCCATTGCAGCAACCTCTGCAACACCGGCTTCCTCCGTGGCTTCGAGTCCCAGCGGAAAGCCTGCAACCCGCGGCATCTGGACGGCACCTCCTCCGCTGCCGGCAGCCTTGCAGAAGCCTCCTGGGCCTGAGGCACTGCAGGCTTCGAAGCCGGCCTCGAAGCCGAAGCCTGCTCACGTGCAGCTGCCGCCGAAGGCCCTGCAGTTTCAGTTGTTAGCACGAACAAGGCATCGATGGTCCTGTGATCCGCATCTGAAGCTGCTACTCGTGGGTGTGGAGCTAGTCCAGTCCGGCCACTCATCAGTAATTATACCCTGTGCTCCTGACCTAAACTCAATTCCTTGCATTCACAACATCCATACTGGTCCAAACACTGAACCCGGTACCGCGGTACCCTAAACCACAGCGCCGTCAAAACCCTCAGCTCCTCGCAGACCCAAGCAGTAAACTCCCATAACTGTGTCCTGTTTCTTTCTTGTGCCTTTAAGCTCCGTCCTGCAGCACTTAGGTTTCCTTGCAGCAGATGTGCGAGCTTGCAAAATTTAGGGGTGGGGGCATTACAAACAGGATACTACTATTTTTAGTTTACGTACTACATTACGGTCCCCTATTAACTTGTATTCCCTGATTGGGTTCCGGTGAAGGACCAATCGCACGCGACCACAAGCATGAGTCAGGCCCTCTTAGTGCGAAGCCCGACTGGGCGCCTTTCGTTCCCAGTTGGCAGAGGCCACACGTTCTTTTCGGGCTTTGCCTTTGGGCATGTCTTTCCTCAGTCGTGCCGGGCTAGCCTTGGGTTTGCAACGATGCCGGCGACGACGACGAAAAACGAGCCCCGTCCGCGACAAGACCCTTGCAACCGAGAAGATCACTCCCAGAACACCTACCATTGAGAAGCTGCCCCCACCCTGTAATAGTGATTATATAAGGGCCCTACTATATTCCTACTATCCCACTATTACAGGGTGGGGGCCCCTTCTAACCCACCATGGTGTTCGCTTCCGGCGATGCCGGACATTCTCGCTGTTGTTTTGCGTTGTGCCAGCAACGGAGAGCTCAAGAGCTGGATTAACCTTTCCCCCCCACCCTAAATCTTAAACCCCAAAAGAACACTAAACCTAAACCTAAACCCACAAGAACCGTAAACCCCCCAAAGCTTTGAAAGAAGCCGAAATACTAAACCTTCACCCTCAAAGAACCCCACACCCTAAGCCTCCCAACAACCCTAACCCTTCAACCCTACTTAAAGGATCATGGGACTTAGCAACTAGGGTTATAACTAGGGTAACTATACTTATAGCTACTTATACCCCCAAAAATCCCATGGTCCTCCAAGTAAACCTCAAACCTCCCAAGAACTCTAGACCGTGCAGTGTGCTTGTGGCAGGATAAGACCCAGGTCGTTGCCTTTGAGGCCGCCGTGGGGGCTTTCGGGTTAGGTTTCGGGTTCAGGGTTAGAGTTTAGGAAAAGCTTTGGTTCCGGGTCCTATGTACTGCTATGGTGGATACTTCGCTAAGTCATAATAGTAATTCCTTACATGGGAACCCTACATTCTACTAGATCGGTACATAGGACCCTTTGGGGAGTTTGTTCCTGGGGATCCAACAACCTAATGTCTCTAACGGTTATATCTTTTAGCTAACGGGTCATTATCTAGTAGGTTCCTGAGTAGCACCCTTTTACCAGTTTTTGTTTTAGCGTCCCGTTATTAAAACCGAATAGTAGGAAAAGGGAACCCTTACTATGAAGTGGCTAGTCAGGAACCTAGTCTACCATTTTGTAGGGTTTTGGAGCTACAGGTTGGGTGTAGACATTCTAGTTGTTATGGCTTTTGGCAGTTTTGGTTGTAGGGGTCCTCGTTTCGAGGTGCAGTAAAAAATGTTGAATTTTCAAAATTTAGGTTATATGGCTTGGGGTCCGGATGTTTTCGTCAATTGTTGGACCCCTCGAAGATAAGTAATCCATGGCAAAAAATCTGCGGGCATCCCGCGAGACCCCTCGACACAGGGGTGGGGAGGGCCGAGTGTGCAGCATCTTCGGGCCCTGAACCCCGAACCTTTGGGGCTTAGGGTTCGAGCGTTTAGGGAAGAGTCTGATTATCAACAATTGGGGAAGGCTATGGCAAATGGTTTAGGGCTTCGGGTTTACGGTTCAGGGTTAGTCGGTCACGGCGTCGTCCGGCATGATCTCCCGCCCGAGGACCTGGTGGACCAGAGTGGATTGGCCAAAGGTCACCCAGCATCCATACAGGCCCGAGACATCACTCAGGAAAGTGGGGGACAAGGCCAAGCAGAAGTAGGAGAAGGCACCCACACTCTGGCCCCTTGCACCAGGGCGACTTCAAGGCAGGTGACTGCGCCGCGCGCCTGAGCCGAGCGCTTTGCGCCGGCCTCAGACCCTGATGCAGATCGGAAAAGGCCGGAGCCTTGGCAAGAAAGCTGAAGCTGGCCAGAATTGCGTTTGGTCAGTTCTGCACGAGTAGCTGTGAGAAGTGCCGGCTGCCGTGCTGGGAAGAGAGCTGCGAGCTTGCTGGCCGCACAGCCTCGGCTACATCTGGGAGAAGAGCGATAATTAATTTGTTCTTCTTGGCGAGACAGAAAGGCACACAGCCTAGAGAGGAACCTTAGGGTACCCGGAGACTTCAAGAACACCACTAGAATAATGTGCGTGTGTACTTATGTATATATCTACATATATACATATATATAGTTATATACAGATAGATAGATTGGATGAAAAAACACATAGATGTGGACCATGGGTAGATAGATAGACAGTCATGGATATTGACTAGGTCTCCCAGTGGGCTAATACTTTTGCCTTTATGCGGTGTCCTAGGTTCCTTATACAGTACTACGCAATACCAAAAAGGGAACCTTCTTTAATCCCAGGTTACTGGGACTGGGACGTAGTTAAAGATCCATCTTCAGTTTTTTGGGTATATATGCATCTGTAGGCTTCTACATGTGTTATTTTCGAGCCTGAGCCCGACCAAAGTCGAGAGCCCTATTCAGATCCTACTTGTAGCCCCAAACTCTACAGAATAGTAGGTTCTGACCCCGTAATTATCGGTGGAAACCCGAAAACCAGTATGTAGGGTTTGGCATCACCAGGCAGACCCTGAGCTTTAAATCACGTGCACCCGAAACCCTAAACCCTGAAACCCTTGTCTTGGAGCCTAAACCCAAGATGTAGGATTCCTAACTGAGGGAACCCCTTTGAGAGAGTCTTATGCTACTCCAGGGAAAATGCAGCTTTATTTCTTGCCACGCTATTAATGTGAGCTCGTGATTATTGAAGGTCCCTCAATAGAGCGAAACTCGGCCCGGAACTCAATGATAAAAGGTCCCCTCAATAGAGCGAAACTCGGCCTGCACGTAATTATAAACCCCCCTCAATAGGCCTAAAACCCGTCCCGGTGTTAATTTTTTTAAGGTTTAGGAAAGATGATCAGGGAGGCGGCCCCCCAAAACTATTGCATGGGGTTTTAGGGTTTTAGTCGGGTTTTAGTGGAGGAGTTTAGGGTTTTAGGGTTTTAATAGGGTTTTGGTCTTGGTTGTTCCCGGGGGGGTTAATAATCAGGAGACCACATTAGCCATCCTTGGGGTCTTGCCTTTTGGTGTACCTTGCCCTGACAGAAACTACGTTTCTGTAGAACTAAGAAAATCTAGGGAGAGTTTATACGCACGTAACAACAATGGTGGGTTCAGCTAGCGCTGTAGACTTGTGATCCACCGTTTTTCAAGTCAGTTAGTTGAATTCATATTCGACTTCTCCTTGCTACGGTGGTCTAGATCACGGGAGCCCTAAATCCTAAACCCGGAAGCGTCAGTGCAGGTTTGGGATGTATTGAAGTTTTTGGGGCTTGGGAGTTGTGTACCCAGAGAGTCCATATGCACTACCATTGTGGAATTAGTAGGTCCCTAATGGTAGTGTGTATATGGACCCTCTGGGTTAGAGGTTTGGTGCTTGGGGTCCGGCTTCGGGACATCAAGTGGCTCGCGCTTTCCCCTAACCCTAAATCCTTGAATCCCTAAACCCCTAAACCCTAAACCCCTGAACCCCAAACACCTAAACCCTTTACCCCTGAACCCTAAACCCCTGAACCCTAAAGGCCTTGCTCAAATCTAAACCCTAAAGCCCTTAAATCTAAGCCCTACTTGGAGGATCATGGCACTCAGTCAGTAAGGTTATAAGTACCTATTAATTGGGGCTATAAGTAGTTGTACAAGTATAGTTATCCTATATAATTATTACCCTAGTTACTAAGTCCTATGATCCTGTAAGTACGCCTGCAGGTGGATGGGAACCAGGTCTCCGTCAACTTCCCCATGCGAGCGGTCGAGTGCAAGGAGGAGGCGGCTTTTGGGTTCTTCTGGATTTAAACCTGACTGGGCTTGGGAATTATGCTTTTTTCGATTATGATATAGATATAACTTAAGGGGATTCATAAGAGCCTTAGGGTTCCGCATTATAATACTACAAAAGCACAGGGTGCAGGTCTAGACTCTAGGGTTCAGGTTATTTAGATTGGCGGATTGCGACTTCGGAGATGAGAGTGGTGCGATGCGGGAGTTCCAGACAGTATCGGAGCCCCAAAACGACGATCCCTTTAATCAGGAGTTCTTACAACTGCCAGAGCTTTTTTTTCTGCAGGATTTAAGTATACACCCACACACACACACACACAACTTAAATAGGGACCTTGCCAAAAAGTTGATTTTGTTACGGAGGTTCAGGTAAGGACCCTCAAAACTTTCAGATGTTCACAGAGCCATTGAATTTGGCGGAATTGGACGATCATATAGGGTTTAGGGTATAGGTTTGCTGTCGGAGTGGGGAACACGTCTTCGTGTTGGCAAGTTGGATTAGGAGGGCTGTGTCCTGGTAAACTAGATCTGACAATTTGTCAACACCGCGAGGCCGAATCCCAGAACTCCAAACACAGCACACTCCCCGAATCCCACCAAGGACCCTGATTTTTGCTTGTTCAAACCCCAATATAATCCTTCTAGAGCCCCAAAAGTCTAATTCCAGATCCAAAAACCGAATCCCAAATTCAAATTCTAACCCTGATCTTTTCCCTACAACACTGAACCCTCAACCCCTTTAGATCCCTTATGATCCTTTATAGAACCATGTATAAACCCTTGTAGATCCCTTAAAGGAACCCTTTTAGATCCCGTCAAAAGGAACCCAACCCCTAAACCCTATGAGCCCTAAACCACCCAAACCCCCCAAACCCTAGGCCCTACCTAGACCCCCAAAAATAGATAAAATAATTGCCCAAAACCTATAAACGGCTATTATTCTACATACGTTTTGGGTCCAGGTAAGCCTGAAAACCCTATAAATTTTAAGCCAGAAGGCCTTGGCACAGCGAGTACGCACGGCCCTGAGACGTTGCGAGCGGGCGCTGAGACCGGTCCCGGTCTTCTGACGAGCGGCGGAAAGCGGAAAGAAGGCGCTCTGCACGGTGAAGATTTGGAATTTAGGGGTTTAGGGGTCATAATGGGTTAGGGTTCAGGGTTTAGGGTATTGGGGGTTGAGGTTTGGTCCGATAAGGTTTTTTTGGATGGCGAAGGTGTGGAGTTTAAGGGATTTCTCTTTCTTTTCTCTTCTGTGTCGCTTCGTTCCTTTTCCTTCTAAGGAAAATAGCCCGCTTTATATGAGTATCCGATAAAATTTCTATATTTGTAGTTAATTAAGAGAAGGGTGATCGTGGAATCTCGGATTTTCCTAATTTCTATGAAAAGCGATAGGATATTCTTAAA